TGGCTCTGGTGAGAAGGGATGAAGCCAGAGTCAGACCAGGTCTGTGGGACTCCAAGTCAGACCCCTCTGACCTCTGATTTTACTGCCTCCCCGGATCCTGGTTCCGGGTGTGTGTGTGTGTGTGTGTGTGTGTCTCCACCACCCGGAGCAAGCCAGGGACTGAATCTCTTGTCTCTATTTTCTACAGACAAACTTTTGGAAAGTCTTTGGCGATGAGGAAAGCAGGCAATTGCCCATGGCTGGGGGAAACATCTTTATTCCTCTTGTGTATTTGTACAAGAGCAGAGTAAGAAATCAGCAAAAACCCTGGTTTTGTTAAATTCTGAGTTACTATCTGAGTTGGCCTCCGGGCAGAAGATCTCTCCTATGGTGTGGACAGAGGTAAGGGTGTGGCCTCTGGGCCAGGCTGCCTGGCTCACCGTTTAAAAGCTGTGCACCCTTACTCAAATGCCTTCACCTCTCTGTGCCTGCATGTCCTTGGCTGTAAACTGGGGTAATCACTGCATCTGCCTTGTAACTGCTCGGAGCTGTGCCCGGCACATGGGAAGGGCTCTGTGTTTGCTCCCGTGGCTTTTGTGCAGCAAGCCTGGCCGAACCCCCCTCCCCCATTTCCTTTCTTAGAGGAGGAATGTGAGGCACAAAACACCTTGCAGAGGGTGGACTTCAGCGCTGGCTCTCCCTCTCACCTGGCACTGAAGTCAAGTCTCTCCCTCGCTGGGCCTCCACTTCCGCATCTATAACATGAACTGACGAGGCATGCCCCTACGGGAGGCAGTCCCTGGGACCTGTGAACATGTTACCTGACAGAGCAATGAAGATTTTACTGGTGTGATTAAATTGAGGATCTTGAGATGGGGAGATGACCCTGTGTCATCTGCTGGCCCAATGTCATCACCAGGGTGCTTATAAGATGGAGGCAGGACGGTCAGAGTCAGAGAAGATGTGATGATGGGGGCAGCCGTGAGGCCAGGGGCTACAGGTGCAGCCAGCCTCCAGAAGCTGGAAAAGGCAAAGAAATGGATTGTCCCCCAGGAGAAACACAGCCCTGTGGACCCCTTGATTTTAGCCTAGTGAGACCCATTTTGGACTTCTGATCCCCCCAAAAATGTAATATAATCAATTTGTGTTGCTTTAAGCCACTAAATTGGTGGTAATCTGTGGGAAACTAACACAACCTCCAAGGCAACTTTCTAAAAGAAAAGCATTTCTCTCCTGAGCTCCTTGAGCTTTGGTTTCTTTCCTTCAATGCTTCTCCACTTGTGTCATTCTCCAACTCCACGTGGGTGTCGAGGGGACCCTCCATCCCTCCACACAGCCCTTCCCCTCCCAGGGCGGCTTCCTCAGTCAGGGTCAGGGCTCCTGGCTGGGCTGACTCAGAGGCAGGTCAGGCTGCATTAATCCCCGGTTAACACGTTCATCAAAGCGGGTCCAGTCATTAGCCTGGCCCAGGTCGGGCATGCTTGATCTCCGAGATAGGCTGCACCCGAGCGGAGAATCTTTCTCAGCTACCTGCCTGCTGTCCCTCCTTGCCACCATCCAACCATGCTGGACCTCTGTCCCGCTTCCTGTGAGCTGGGGTCCAAGTCCCTGGCGGGGGCCGGGGAGTGGGGGAGATCTGCTGAGCGCTGGGCTCCTCCTTCCTTCTCCCACCTGTCCCCAAATGAGAAAATGTGCCAGTCTCCCCCCGTACAAAAAAGACAGAGGCGGCGTCTGGAGCCTCCCTACTCTGCAGCTGGCAAATTAACACAAATGTACTTTCGCCTTCTACCAGGAGGTGTTTCGGGGTGGGAGCCAGAAAGTCCTTTTCTGTTTGCCTCCTTGCAGGCTGAAATTTGGGAACACAGGCATGAGCAGAGGAGCAGGCTGGGGGAGCAGCGGGGACTTGGGGCAGCAGGAAGGGGACACCTGCTTAAAGCATCCCTCAGTTCTCTTTCCTTAGGAAGCGTTGAGGACTGGCAGGGGAGGCACGGGGTGAGCGAGACACAGCCACCCCAGAGCAGGGCAGAGTCCGAGGCACAATTCAGGTCCCATCTGTTAGCACATCCACTTTATGTTCTGATTTTGTTAATCGAATAGTCTGCTATCTAATAAAAAATGGCCAACCGTGATGGAGTGCTTGCAGCTAGACTTTCTTGCCTCTCCTTTTTTATTCATTCTACCCAGAGTGGCTTTTCCAGCCGCCATTTTCCACCCAGGGGCTCCATTTCCAGGTTTAATGAGTCAACCAAGAGTGGATTCCCAGACCCCTGTACCTTTGGCAACAGGAAATGTTGACTCTTCATCAGGTATTGGAAAAGGGGATGCGGAGAAAGGTCAGCCCAGTCATGACACCCTTTAGGGGCCCAGGGGCTTAATTCCTTGGTTCTGTTTGACTCTCAGCCCTGCATCCAGAACACATCTCTCTGCTCTTCTGTTTCCTCTCACCTCTCGCCAGAGCCCAGCTGTGTGTCTTGTGCAGAGAATTCAAAGTGGCAGTGGGATCGGAGTGTGGCTCCCAGATCTGCCCCAATCAGGCTCCAGGGTGCCCCAAGCCTGAGTTCTTAAGTCTCGGGACAGGAATCAAGGCTGTCTTGTTTCCAGCACATTCATGGTTCCCCATGGGTTTGGAGTGGGTCCCACGACAGAAATCTTTCCACTGGAATGGGCTGGTTGAGGGAATGACTGATGAGGGCAATCCCCAGAGGCCATCCTTGCCTGTCTGTCAAACATACCTTCTCTCCCTCCCCACTCAGCAGGTGCCTCAGCAGAGCTCCAAGACAGAGGACACAAGGTTGAGCTCAGGTCCAGCAGAGCCTGAGAAGTCCACTCAAGAAAGCTGGCATGCCCTGGCCACGTGTCCCTGGCAAGCCCAGCAGTGGGGCCGGGTCTCCAGCAGTGCCAAACTTTCCTTGGAGACAGGCTCTGGTGAGGCACCCCAGAGTGCCTCTGCCTGCCGTCATGTGTGTGGGTATCAAACACACGCTAGTGAATACACCTCTGCTCAGATTCACGGAGGCAGGAGCCTCCCCACTCCACACACACACACACACACACACACACACACACACACACACACACGGCTAATCAGAGCAGCTCCTCCTCTCTCCTCACCCCCCTGCGCTCATCTCAAGGTGTCAGCAAGAGGGTGGGTGTCTGCGTCTGTCTCATCTACCTGGGTGACTCTGGTGCCCGGCACCCTTTATGTGCTTCAGAAAATGCCGACCAAGTGGACAACTTAATTAATGATCCCTGTTGCTGGGAGCCTGCCCTCATCAGTCAGCTTAGATCAGTATTTCTCAACACCCCTCCCCAATGCCACCCTCCCCTAGGGAGCTTTTTAAAGACCTTTTCTTCCTCTCCAAGAACCTATTCCAGCCTCCCCCTCCCCTGGAGAACGAACACATCAAATGAGCCAAGGAAAGGCCCTCTGCCACCTGTCCCAGGGACCCTCTGCCTGTCACAGTCCCACCCGAGGGGGCTCAGGCCTCCTCAAGGGAGGGGCTGGGTCTTAATCCCTACTTCTCTCTGGGCTGCAGGCTGGCCTCCATCCGCTCCTACCCGCATCCCGTCCCTCTCCTGCACTGCTCTCTCGCCAGCACAGTGCCTCAAGAACTGACTGTGAAACAGTGAAATCACGGTGACGGGCACCTGGCCTGGGGAGCTGCCCACAGCAGGTGCTCAATCAGTCTTTGTCCAATCCGTGAACGAATGAACTTCTCTCTTTTCCTTCCTCCCCCAAAGGCTCCCGTCCACCCAAGCAGAGCCCCTCCTGGGTACGGAGCCCCTGAGGCTGAGGAGGCCATCACCCACCTTCCTACCAGTTGCTGGAGCCTCCCGTGAACAGAGCTGTCTCGAAATCCCCAGCGCCAGGCACACAGTAGACGCTCAATAAAAGCTTGTTGAGTTAATGAATGACTCAGTAAAGCTCAGTGGTGGGGATGCTCCATTCCGTGCCTAAGGATGGAGTCAATGAGCGAGTGACAGACGCCCCCCCCCACCCCAGACTCCCCCCAACACCCTTTCCTCTCGGGATCCAGCCAGGCGGCGAGACACCTCCGCCACAGCCAGGATGCGCCCCGCGCCGCGTCACCGCGGCGGAGAACGTCCAGCACTTCGCACCCCGGGGACCCCTCGGGAAGAACTCAGCTGGACCCGCACCGTGACCGCGGCGAGCGCGCCCCACGCCGCCGCCCGCTGCTCCGGGTCTTCCGTCGCCCCAGCCTCTCCGCTCGGTAGGTTTCGGGGCCCCGCCAGGCGCAGCGCCCCCCGACCCCCAGCTTACAGGCGCGGGGGCCGCTCGGCGGCTCGGCGGCGCCCGGCGAGGCTGCAGCGCGTAAAGTTCCCACCTCAAGTTCCCGTCCCGGCGTCCCCGCCTCGGAGTTGGCCGCGCCGCGGCTTCGGTTCCCCGGGCTGCCAGTGGGTCGCAGGGAGGACGCGAGAAGGGCTGGAAGTCGCCCGGGGCGCCCGCGTCGCCTCCCGGAGCCGCGGACAAACTTGGGCCCCCGGGCCCGGCTCCGCTCCTGCGCTCGGACCCAGGGCCGCCCCGCCTCTGCGCCCCGGTCCCCGCCAAGCTCCGAGCGCGCCGCGCGGCAGCCGCCGAGGGAGGGAGCGGGGGCAGGAGGCGGGACGGAGGGAGGAGACTGCGCGCGGGGCGGGGAGAGGGGGCGGGCGGCGGAGAGCGCGGCGCCGGGCATCGCCCCGCAGCCCGGGCGGTGGCAGCGCCACGCGGGCACCGGCGTCCGGGCGCCTCAGCCCGCGGCCCGTAGCTTGGCTGGGCAGGGCTCCTCACGGCACCTTCTGGAGCCCCGGCCTCGGGGGCACGCACGAAGCGCCCCCTGCCACCCCCTCTCCTCCTTCCCCCGCCCCGCGCAGGCCGTAGGCTCCCGGCGCTCGGCTGCCCCGGGGCTGCACGCGCTCAGCCGCGCGCCAGCCTCCTGGGGTCGCGCGCAGTGTCACGTGCTTTCCCTGGCTGTTCAAGTGCACCGCTGGTCACTGGAGCCAGTGCCCCAGGGTCTACACGTGCCATGCAAAGTCCCACGCTCCGCTGTCCCGGGGCCGCATCCTCCACGCGCTTCCACATCCCGGGGCCACACGCGCCGTGTCTTGTGCTTTTCCCTGGAGGTCCTAGTGCGCCGCTGCTGGTGAGCCCCTCTTGCTACCACGGGACACGGGCTGCACGCGCCTTGCCACGTCAACTTCTTAGGGTCAGCAACGGCCACGCCAGGTGCCTCTCCCTCCAGGTCCGTGTGCATCACTGCCCCAGAGTCCGCGTGGCCCAGCCGCCCGCACCCCGGCCCAGGCTGGGCGCTCGCAATGGGTCCTGGGCTCCCGGAGTCCCGCACCCGGAGGGCAGGCAGCCGGCCAGGAGCGCCAGCTCGCCTCAGAGTTGGTGGGAGTCGCGCTTTTGCCCAGGTTGGGTTGGAGGGCTCTGCCTGAGAGGGCGCCCCCGCAGAGCCGGCCTCTTAGAGTCGCTTGCCTCGCACCTCCTTTCCTCTTTTCCTTCCAGTCTCTGCCGCTTTTCCCACCATCAGAGATTCAGGAAGGGCTGTGAAGCAGCTCTGCCGTGGGCGACCACGACAGACAAGGACCTGCCCCCTAGAACTCACCTTCTGCTGGGGGAGAGGCAGGACCAGGAACACCCCTAACTGCACAGCTGCAGTCTGTGAGAAGGGCAAGGAAGAAGCCAGAGCGGGGTGGGGGTACAGTGAGGGGCGGGACCACTTTAGATAGGCCTCCGAGGAGGGGGTGTTTACGCTGACCGTGAACGAGAAGAGGGAGCCCGTCTTTGGATGATCTGGGAGAGAGCTTTCCAGGTGGATGGAACAGCAAAGGCAATGGCCGCGAGGTGAGCCAGAGGAGGCACGTTTGAGGCACAGCAGAGATGGGTATTGGGGAGGGTGTGCGGGCTGTGGCCATCCGGTGGTCCCCGGAGCGCACTTTGAGAAACACTGTTAGCTCTAGGTGTTGGGTCAGGTCCCCGCCTTCCTCTCCCCTCTGAAAATTGGCGTTTCTATCTCTTTTCCTTGCTTACTGTCTGTCTTCCAGCTAGAAATCAAGCTCCATCGGGGCCAGGGTTAGTGCTCTCCCTCCAGCATCTTCCACGCTGCCAGGCATGGACAGAACAGACCAGGCTTCTGACATAAACGCTGTGGGAACGCTCAGGACAGTGCTATGGGATGGATCTGGTCATCTCAGAGAGACCTGGGGCTTGCTGAAGCCCCAGGGGGAGGATGTGGAGCAGTTCTCAGACTTTATTATGCATCCAAATCCGGGTTCTTTGCAGGACTTGTTAAAACCCAGATGGCAGTCCCCCCCGCCCCCCCGACAAGTTTCTATTCAGTAGGGTTGCTGGGGGGCCCTTAGAACAAGGTCCCTGGTGGTGCTGGTGCTACTGGTCTGGGGATCCCGCTTTGAGAACCACTGATGTTGAAGACTTGAAACTCAACCCTGCTGGGTCTGACTTCAGAGCCCACAGGAGCTGCCAGATCCAGCGGGGCCTCGGGGCCTGACGCCTTGCTTCCTCTTGTGTAGGATCAGGTGGACCTGGTGAGCGCCTCAGGGAAGGGCTGTCCCTGGGGGCTAGGCCTTTCCGAACACTGTGTGCCTCAGTGAAATGTTGGGGTGACCTGTGGATAGAAGACCCCGAAACTTCTGTCTTACTGGTAGAGCCCATCAGTAAGGACGGTCCCTCCCTCCCACCCCCTATCCACCCCCCACATGCACAGACTCACTTGCTGTGCCCAGGAGTTAAATTACTGCCTGGTCTTATCCCCGACTTGTGCTAAACTACGTCCAATAAAATTCTTTTAAATCCTTTTAAGGAATTCCCTCTTCGCAGTTTCTCCCTCCCTTTAAAGGCTTCCAGATTTTCAGCTCTTCCCTTCATATTTTCATTTCCCTCTTGAGAAGCATCCTTCCCGAGCTGTTGTGTGGAAATGGATGCTGATGGTGCCTGTGAGAGTTCCCTGAGAAGACAGGAGCCGTGGATGCTTGCTGAGCACCTACGAGGGCTATTCGTAGACATCAGAGGCACAAACTGGGCCAGTCGGTGGGCTCTGGCTCACAGACCTGTTTTATTGGGCCCTGCTGGGTTAAAATTTTTTTAAAAATTTTGAATTAGTTGCCAATCTTTAAAGATCGGGAGATTTCACATAAATTTTTTTCTTCTGAAACACTGGGAGATGTGGCTGACATCCCTCACGTGAGCAGTGTGCTGGGGCCGGGTCATCCCCTCCCTTGCCTGTGGTTTGGGCCTCAGCCCACATCATGTCACTTAAATTACCAACGGGCCCCTGGAAGCAGGAGCTGCTGACCTCTCATCTTGGTAAATTGTCTAAGGTCACACAGGAAATGGCAAAGCTGGATCTGAACCCAGGGCTGTCTGACCTGAAAGCCCAACTTGTCACTAGAAAACAAGCTGCTCTTAGTTTTGGGGGCAGGAGGAGGATGTGGCCTCCCTGGCCCGGAGGAAATACCTTAAAAGGGAGTCACAGTTAGCGGTTAAAGGACAGGCGTTCCTTCTCATTCATAGCCAACTCTCGGTAAGTCATAAAGTTCTGGGTTGTTTTTCCAGGGCACGAAGGGTTACCCAGAGCTGTCCACGCCGTTTGTCCATTCTTCCCCTTGAGATGAAAAGGCTTAGATTTGCAAGACAACTGGTGAGAGTTAGGAGCTGAGTCTGGGGAGGTGGGAGTGGGGGGGTGATGGTAGGGGTGGGAGTGGGGGGATTTTCTTCCTTAGTTCTCCTGCCGGGGGTCTAACTGGGTGTCCCTGGGCACAGCTTGTAGAAAAACTGCTGCTCGGCAAGGCAAGTCGCGGTGGGGGTGGGTGCATGGGCAGTCCCCTGCCACCTCTCTCGCGCTCTCTCTGCTCCAGGCATTCTGCCTTCTTTCTGTGCCTCCCTCTGCCTGGAATGATCTTCCCATAGGCTTCCACAGAACCGGTTCCTTCAGGTCGCCGTCAATGGTCACCTCAGGACTCCGGGAGCCGGGAGCCGGGCGCAGCCAGTGAGGCTGAGGTGTGCAAAGGGACAACTTTCTTTAAGTCTTTATTTTAAAAGTTGGTATTTTGCTCACCATGGATTGGTTTTGCACTAAATTTGATTCTTAAAAAATATCATATCAAAATTTTATTTATCTTGATTCCTGAGCTTTTTGGCGCCTCCTTAAATTTCACCCCCAGGCGAGAGCCCCACCGGCCTCAGTCCAGCCCCAGCTCAGCTCCTGGTCCAGGGTGCTGTGGACTGGGAGTCAGGAGACCTGGCTTCTGGTCCAGCTTGTGCCACTAGACCAGCTGTGTGACTGAATGCATGTACCCTCGGCGCCCTGAGCCGCTCAGCTGCACCATCTCTCCAGGGACGGGCTATTCCTGGCTCTAGTTCTAGAATGATCCAAGACACTCCTTAGAACTCTGATAGGTTGTGTATTGTATGCATCTCCTGGGGGCTTTGGGCCTGTTTTAGGCCTCTGACTCTGGCCATTATGTCACCGGCCTTTCCCCATCCCATGTGAGGTGATCCTCTGTGCAAACACCACATCTTCGTGGCTGCTTTGTGCAATGAGCGTTGATGCCCTTGTCGTTTTCCCCATCCTGGGGGGAGTTTCAGTTTTGGAGGTGTGGTCGTGCCCTTTATTCTTGCTTCTTGCTCTTTGGTTCCAATCACTGGATCATGTGACACACCTTCATTAGGAAGCTTCCCAAATGCCAAGTGCTGAGCAACCACTCAGGATACAAAAGAAACCTGTCCAGCCCTGGAAGAGCTGACGTTCTAGCGAGGGAGCCAGCACATAAGCAGACCCGTGTGCTGAGAGAAGTGTGCCCGGGGTAGAGGACGTCCAGCTCAGTGAAGGTCACCTTGAGAGGACGGTGCACTGTCCTTCCTCCTGGGGGGACCCTGCATCCTGGGGGCTGTCTCCAAGTGCCAGCGGCCCAGAGCAGTGGGCAGTCACCTTCCTAATGGACTCTCCGCCATAGAGAGCTGTGGTGTGACATTTTGCATCCACACTTGAATGGGCGAAGCTCTGAGTTACAGCTTTCAGTTCCTTCTAACTCCCCATCTCCCTCCATCCCTCCTCTGGATTGTGGCTTGTTCCTCAGTTGTTCCTAGTTCTGACAACCCTCAAAACCTGTTTCAAAGTGCACCTCCCTCTTTCAGTTCTCCTCCGCTGCTCCAGCCCTCAGGGGACTCTTCTCTCACTTTTTTTCCAAAGCCTTTATCAACTAATAGACCTTCTGCCTGGAGCTTAATTAAGATCGGTCCAGAGTTTCTTGTTGCTTCAGCAAAGCCGGAATGTAATGGTTCTTGCAGGGAGAGGGCACTTGCCTGGCAGTCAGTAACAGCTGGGAGGGCTCTGCTCCTCCACTCAGAGGGTACAAACAGATGTATCTGGCTAGCCTTCTGTGTTTTAAAAATAATGAATTATGTGCCAATACTTGAAAATCAGGAGATCTCAAATAAAACTCTGGGTTTTCGGCTTCCCTTGAAAACTTAGAAGTTGTGCCAACCCTGAGCCTACATTCCTCCCTGGCAAAAATTGGCTAGATCTGGTAGCACCTTTTTCCTTAAGTGGGGCATGGGTCTTCCAGTTTGCCACAATCCCCACTACTCCTTAATGTCTAACATTAGGCTCCCTTTACTTATCTACTTTACCTTCCTGGCCCCTAGAGGATTTTGAGATTTTAATCCCTTCTAACTTTTTTCTTTAAGAGGGTAGACAGCTCATCAGAGCACTATGCACTGGCTGATGCTTAGCATGGCCCAAAGGGAGGCTGGGCATCACTCTGAAAATTGTTGGGGAGGTGGGGAGGGGACACTTAGGAGGGTGCTTGCTGTGAATCAGTCTGAAGAGTCTTAGTATCAACGAACTCCAGTGTTGGAACTTGGCTGCTACCATGCTGCTTTACCTGGACATGTAGAGATATACTTAGTGTGAACATAAAACAATAAATTTATAAAAATTAACTAACTTATCAAGAGCACTTACTATGTGCCAGATACTGTTCTCAGATTTTTACGTTTAATTTCACAATAACCCTGTGTGGTCACCACTGTTACTTCTCCCATTTTAGAGACAAGGGACCTGAGACGCAGGTAGGTAACTTGCTCGGGAATGCACAGCCAGAAAACAAGAGGCTGCAATTGCACCAGACACAGAATGCCTGGAACCTGGATTTTACCAGGATTGGAGGTACCGGCAGGTGATGGGTTTTTCTATTGTTGTCTTCTCTGCATCATCCATTTCCTGGGGCTGTAATCTGTTTCCCTCCTGCCAGGAGGCTGTGAAGTTTGAGGCTTCCTTCCCTTGGCACCGGGCTGAAGTTAGCTGGCCCCCAGCTCTGCTACTGTAGGCTCTTTGATCTGGAGACACACTGGACTACACGGCTTCAGCAAGAGGAGGACAGGGGAGGGCTGGGGCAAGAAAGCAGGGGCTTTGCCAGCCCAGACCAGGTCCCCTCAGACAGCCCAGGGATCCCAGAAGTGCAGGGCCCACCTGCCAGCCCCTGGGCATGAGCTCGTAGCCCCTGTGTCCCCACGTCTGAGGTCAGCGCCCGGATGCTGAGCTCCGAGCATCCGTCTTGCTGCAATGGAAGATTTGAATCCCCTTGTCGTCACTTTGCATTGCTTCTGGGCTGTGTTCCCTCTTATTTCATTTTCGTCTGAAATCCTGAGCTCACCCTCCTCGGCAGCTGACGGGCCCATTTATTTCCAAGGCTGCAGCCAGTCGGAGGGCTGCCGACAGCTCCGCGGAGCGCTCTGGGTTTGTGCCACCTCGTTTTGTTCCTGCAGACAGGGCTGGGAGACCAGAGAACATCTTCATTTTGCAGCAGCAAAGCTGTCAGAGCCTTCAGCCTCAGCCCTCATCCTCTTGGGCCTGAGATGCATTTGGTTTGCCCTAGAGGGCACTGCCCGGGTTGACTCTGTCCCTTGGTCTTTCGTCCTTTTGGACTCAAAACCTTGAGAGCGTGCAGCCTGTGCTTTGCAAATGTCCTGTCAAATGCCCCTGATTTGTCACAGTTGGAACAGCTCCTAGAGATCGTGTTGTCAGATCTTCTCGCAGTGTTCAGATAATGAAACAAAGCCCAGAGAGGGCAAGAGACTCATGGGGAATTGCACAGCAAGTGAGAGGCAGAACAAAACTGACAGGCTCCGGCCCCAGCCATTTCACATTATTCCAGTCCACCTCTTCAGAATCTCAGAAGGCCAGCCTCAAGGGACTCCCCTCACGAGGCATCATCTACCTGCAAGGCTCCTCCGCCAGCACTTCAGGGCACTGCTGCTCCTCCCCTTCCGGCCTCAGCTCAGATGTCCCCTCCTCAGGGAGGCCCGCCCCTCCTGCCTTGTCTGAAGCACCCTCCAGTCACTCTCCATCACATTCTCTGACATCCTCCATTGTTTTGTCCTCAGAGCTCTGATCAGTACCTGCAAAGATCTCCTATCAGAGTTTAATTTGCATTTTTGTTGTCGCTCCCACCAGAATGCGAGCTCCATCTCCCACCAGAATGCGAGCTCCACCAGGCAGTGACCGCGTCTGTGTCTGTCTCACTCGCCTCAACCTCTCCAGTAACCTCGCCAGTACCGGCACACAGAGGCGCCCCGCATGTCTGCGCATGTGGAGTGAAGGGATGAAGGGATTTCAGGGACTTCCAATGGTCCCTAAACAAGAGCACAGTTTTCAGTAAGGAATGCAGATTTAAATGTCTGTGGGATCACTTTCATTTGCTTTAGATAAGATAGATAAGATTTTATTTGTGGAAACAAAGTCTACTCCTAAAGATGCTCCGAGGCCATATGTCTAGTGCCCCTTTTATTGGCGCATGTGACCCTGTTTGCTGAGCTCCGGGTCTGTGCTCTGCCCTGTGACAGGCACCGGACACGCAGAGGTGAGGAGAAGCAGGGGGAGCCAGGATTCTTCTCAAACCGGCTTAAATGCAAAGAAGAATCGATTGGTTTGCTTGGTCAAAAAGTCTAGGGGTTGGTCTGCCCGACTGCAAAGCCCGTGTTCTTTAAACACGGCTTTAGCAAATTGTGGTATAATTTAAACAGAGTGAAACGCACAGATCTCCATATACCTATCAAGGTACAGAGCATTTCCGGGACCCCAGGAAGTTCCTTCCTCTTCCAGTTAAGCCCCCTTCCCTGGCCCTGTCATCCCAGGGGCGACCCCTGTTCCAGTTTCTTTCAGCACAGATCCACTTTGCGTCTTCTGGAATTTCACGCGAATGGAAGCTTACGGAGCGTCCTCTTTGGCGTCTGCCTTCTTTTCCTCAGCATCAAGCTCCACGCTCAGCATCCGTGTTGTGAGTGTCAGTGCTTCATTCCTTTTCACTGCCTGGTTGTGTTCCGTTGTACAGATGCACTGCATTTGTTTCTCCATTCATCTGTTGATGGACATGTGGGTCGTTTCCAGTTATGGGCTACTGTGGGTAAAGCTGCTATGAACATTCTTGGTGGACGTGTGCACTCGTTTTTAGGAAATTCCTAGGAGCAAACTTGCGGGGTGAAAACCTCATGTCCTCAATTAAAATGATACACCACCTCCCTGTGCTGGAGTCTTCTGTCTGTAGGTGTGATTGAAGCCTGGCTGTGAGCTGTGTGAGGGCACAGACCATTATTATTTGAAGCATTGTGCTTAGTAGCTGGTCCCCCCCAGGATAGATGGATGGGTGGAGGGGTGAATCTTTTTTGGATTGAGAGTTGTCTGGAGACCATTCTCCTGGGTGTCTTGTGTTTCTACACATCTTGCAAGCAAAGGCACAAACTGCCTTCCTTCAGACTATATTTTAGAGGATGTTCATGCAGTGAATAGTCTTGGAAGATAGAGACAGTGTCTTTCTCCAGAGCAAAGGGCAGGCATATTTACTGTCCATGATAAAAGATTTGGGTTTCTAAATACTATTCAGACTTAAAGAGAAAGGAAATTCTGACGCATGCGATGCTATAGATGAACCTTGAGGACATTATACTAAGTGAAATAAGCCAGTCACAAAAAAAGACAAATACTGTCTGAGTCCACTTGTAGGAGGTACTTAGAGTAGTCAGATTCGTAGGAGCAGAAGGTAGAATGGTGGCTGCCAGAGGCGGGGGAGTGGGGAGGGGAGTGGGAAGTTATTTAGTGGGAACTGTTTCATCCTGCAAGAGTTTGGATGGGAAAGTTCTGGAGATCTGTTGCACAACAATGAGAATATGCTTAACTCTACTGAACTGCACACTGAGAAATGGTTAAGACGGTAGATTTTGCGTTGTATGTTTTTACCACACACACACACACACACACACACACACAGATTTGGGTTTCCAGGGCTCAGGATTCCTTTCCCGTAATGCAACTCATTACATGTCTTTGCACTGCTCTGTGGGAATCGGGGTTTGGGGAACTTGTGCAAGAAAATGTTGATGCTCTGGCTACTGCTATGGCTGTAAGTAATAACCGTCCTTTGTCTCTGACCCAGGAGTCTCCTGTCTTCTGCCGGCATCCATAAAACTGCGGTGGGCTCACTTGCTAGCTTGCAGGTAGGGTAGATCTCAGACCCTTCTCAGTTCTTGACGAAAGCGATCTCTGTATTTTTTTCCTTGCAGCACTTTGACAACTGTAGTTAAATACTTATCCTTAAGTATCTTGATGTACTTGTCTGCCTCACTAACCCCTGTGTTCTCTGGTTCACAGCTTTATTCCCAGGGTCTTGCACAGTGCACAGTAGCACACACAAGATGCTCAATAAACATTTGTAGAGTGAATGACTGGATGGTTGAGAGAATGAATTCTTGTTGCCTTGGTCCCACTGTCTCTTCCTCAAGAAGCAATCGTGGAACCGAATGACTGGCTTGTTGTCCCAGCTATTTGCAGGCAAGCTCCTGGGAGCCGTCTCTGCTTTGTGCTGGGCTGGCTCTCATCTTCCTCCTCATCCTCCCCCCCACCCCCGCCCCCCGTGCTTCTCCTACACAAGTGCTGCTGAGAGCACTTCAAGTGGAGGGAAGTTCCTCTCCTTTTCATCTGCCAGCTGCTTGCTTGAGGTCAAGGATCTCCCTCTCCACTTTACAGAAGAGGAAACAGGCCCCAGAGGTGAAACTCTCATGTATCTCTTGCCCTGGGTTTGGCCATTTGCCGTCCAGTCTCAGACGGGGCCAGGAGCTGGGGCTTTTGCCCTCATAGCCCACCAGCCCCTGGATATCAAGAGGGTGGGATGTGGGTAGAACGCAGAAGTATCTCAAACTATTGACGACAGGGTTGACCCACAGCAGCAGTTCAGTTAGTGCTCAGCAGAGTCCTGGCTTTAGATGGGCATCATCCTGCTGGGGGATCCTTGGGGGCCTCTGAGCGGCTGCCAGTGAAAGGCCCTTGTTTGGCTCTGAACAGTTCAGGGGGTTACTTACTTGCTGGCAGGGGGTCTGCAAGGGTGGGCTGAGCTTCCAGAGCTCTCGATGCTGACTTGAATCCTGTTCTTGGTCCTGCCAAGTCCAGTCCCCTCGGTCGCCCAGTCTCTTCCAGCCACGCCTGGGATGGGGGTCTCTGGAAATCTCTCTGTTCTCTTTTTATATCATTATTATGGCGTACACTTAATGCCTGTTTCCCTTGGCGCCTCCCATTTATTTTCAAGAGCTTCCTTTGAAGTAAGAAAAAAAAAAAGGAATGTTATCAATTTCTCCTTTCATTTCTGCTGAAACAATTTTAATTCTCTCCCACTTGGTGTGGATCCCTCTGATTTATCAGGGCAGAGTCTTGTACAGGAAGGATGGGTGGAGAAGGCAATGAGAGCACAAAGACTTATATTTCAAGATAGTGCGTTGTGGCATTTAGAAACTGTGGGGTAGATTCAGGGCTGAATTGGGGCTCCCAGGCTAATGCTTTTCTCAGTACTTCAGGTTACATCTCTGGTCAAGTCAGTGACTGTTTATTAAGCACCTACTGTGTGCCAAATGCTTTGTTGACTCACGGACCCTGAGTGCTTAAAAGCTATGCTTTCTTCTCAGTGGTAAAGCTGTAAGTCTTGCATCTCCTTTCATATGGACTGGAATGAAAACTCTTTTGGGGAAAAGGAAAAAATTAGCTTTCAGTGGTGGTAATAGTTTGTGCGTTCATCAATCCACACATTTACTCATTTTTAAACATTCATTGAGCACCTGCTGTGTGCCAAGCCTTCTACTTGATCTGGGGGATATGGCCTTGGCCGTGACAGGGAGGGTCTCTGTCTTCATGCACTTTGAATATTCTTGTGTAGAGGGGCAATAAACAAAGACACACGTAAGGACAGACAATGATAAACAAAGGGAGGAAAAGTAAAGGGAGTGAAGGTTTAAGAGCGATGGAGGCAGCTCTGGGAAAGTGACGTCCAGGGCTGAGTACGCTCAACTCATTCAGTAATCACTTCTCGAAGGGCTCAGAGCTGAGTCGCAGATCCTTCCTCCAGGCAGCTTGTCTCTCACGCTCTTTTTCTACTAGTAACGGATTCGCTGGGCTGAGCCATGGCTGCCCTCCCCTCTTCTCTTTGGCTCCTGCCCCACCTACGCTGCCTTAAATCCAGTCCATTCCCTGGGGCCATCCATCCCTTTGTGCCCTGGGCCATCCCTTGAGCATGTGGTCTAGCTGCTTTGCTATTGCTCCAACACAACAGGTGTCTGGAAAGTTCTTCCCCAAGATATCTGCACGGCTTGATCATTCACTTGTTTTTAGGTCTTTGCTCAAATGCCACCTTCAAGGGGAAGTCTTTCCTGGGCCCCCTATTTAAAATTGCAACAACCCCACTTCTACTCCAGACCTCTCCATCCTCCATTTTGTTTTCTTTTTCTCCTAATGAGAGCACTTGAGAGGACCGATGACCTTCAGTTGAGGGACCCAGGCAGCCTGCGGCAATGGTGCTCTCCTCCGTCCATCTTGCTGAGGCTCCCAATTGGCCTTGCCCAATCAGAAGATGGAGGCAAGTACAAGTCAGCCTCCAAGGGCACGGAGAAGGGCGGAGAAAGTGATCCAGAGTGGGGCTGGCCTTTAAACTCTTGTTTGAAGCCCTAGGGTTTTACTAAAGTGTTCTGGGGCTATCACGGTGGGCTAGGGGTGACCCAGTGGACTGGACTTTGATCAGACCGTTAACATTCCCACAGGCGTGTGTGTGGTGGCGAGAAGGCGGAGAATGACAAGGCCTGAACTTGAACTTCAGCTCCCGCACTTACCAGGTGTGTGACTTTGGACATATCACCACACCCTCTGAGGCCAGATACTCATCTGTTAAATGCAGCTAAAAATCCCTGCTCTGCATCCTCTCTGGAAGATTGTGAAGATTCCAGGAGTTTCAGGACGTGGAAATGCTTTGCAAACAGCACATAAAACTTGGATAAAACTGGTTGTTTTAATCTCAGCCACCAGTGCGTGTTTCCACTGTTGACTCAGAAATTCCAAGTCTAGACGCAGAACGGGTAACTGGTCGCCATGAAGACCTGGGGATGACAGGGGTTTCCAGCCCAACCGATGTACTTAAATTGGCTTCTGATGGAAAAATCCTGAAGATCCCAGGCGTGGGTGGCCGTTCTGTTACCCATCAGGACACAAGGTACCCAGTTGTTGCTGGGGGCCTAAGACAAGGTCTTGATTCCAGCTTCATAAATGCTTCAAGGAGCGATCTGTTATCCCTCGTTCCTCCCTGCCTCCCGCCAAAGGGAGCTCTCTCCGAGGGTGAGGGGGGATGGCAGCATCGTGGCCCCGGCGGTGTGCTTCCTGTAAAGCAGTAGGAAACTGCAGACCCTCCTGTCTTGTTTGGGGGCTCAGGCGCCATTCTACAGCAGACAGGAGACACCCCACGGCGGGAGCCCTGTAGCCCTGGCTCCGGGGAAAGCAGAGGACACCACCTGTGTCGCCAAGGCATTTAGCCACGGAGAGGGCATCTCTTTAGCGATCTGGGCTGGAGCCCAGCATGAGGTTGGCTGGTGGGCACGGCGCGGCTCCTTGCTGTGAGCTGGCATTCAGGGCCGAGCACAGTGCCATGTACCGGGCGCAGGGTTAGAGGTGGTTCTCAGCCACCGCCTTGCCTGCTGTCGGTCTCGGGCTTTGAAGAGTCAAGAACCGGATTGGTTCTTGGGGGTGGGGAAGAGGCCCTCTTCTTTTTGTTTGGCAGCTTCCACTCCGTTCTCATTTCCAGCGATGGGGTACCGAGGTTCAGTGGCTGGAACTCTAGCCTGGGCAAAGGGACCCTGAGCATTTGTCTCAGCTCCTCCCCTCCCTGATATCATACCTTTGGACAAATTGTTTCCTTTTCTCGGCCACAGTTTACCCATCCTAAAATGAGGGACTTTTTCTGTGATATGAGATGTTTCTTCCAATTTGAATAGCTTGTGTTTCTAGGCAGGGTTTCTCAACCTGGGCACTATGGACATTTGGGTCAGGATCATTCTCTGTGCTGGGGGCTGTCCCGGGCATTGTAGGATGTTTAGCAGCATCCCTGGCCCCCGCCCACTAGATGCCAATAGCACCCGCCCTGAAAGTTTCGACAAACAAAAATGATTCCAATGAAAAATAGCAACGAAAATCCTCTGGGGATCAAAACTGTGTCTGTTGAGAACTACTGATTCAGGGTGTAGGCTAAAGATTTTGCAGTTGTGGGAAGTGTTTCCCCGGGTCTTACTCTGGAGGGTAAATTATTGTCGTTATTGTTGTTATTGGCTATTCAACACACGCAGATATATATATGTTCATGTAGATACATATCTATACGTATGCTTCCATCCTCACATCAACTTCTTCCCTCTTGTGTCCATGTCTCTGTGTCCTGATCTCCCTTTCCTTCCTCCTACAAAGACACTAGCTTTAGGACCCGCTCTAATCTGGTGTGACCTCATCTTACCTTGGTTACATCGGCGAAGACCCTATTTCCAAATAAGGCCACCTTCACAGGTACCAGGGATCAGGACTTGAACAGATCTTTCTGGGGGACGCAATTCAACCGGGTACCAAGGCCAGGACTGAACGGCCATGGCCAAGGGGGAATGAGAAGAAGTCCCGCTGCTCTGTGAGAATCACGCCCACTTTCTGATGTAACAGCCCCAGGAAGGGCATCTTCAATTCCAGTTCCACGGTTCCAGCAGCTCCGGTGCACACACCCTCAGCCCTCCTGTCTCTCTCCCTCTGTCGAGTTCGTCCAGCAAAACCCTGACCCTGATTCCATCCCGCCGTCCAGAGCCACGCCCAAGCTGGACAGTGCCGGATAAAAACACACAACTGTGTCGAGGGTCTCTTTACATTTTTGCGTACAAACCTTAAGTGGACCCTCGGCAGCGCCCAACAGTCCCATTCCACCTCCTCGGTCCCGTCATTCTCCTGCTCAGGAGTACTATTTTCCATTCTCTCCTCCTTCCTCAGCCTTCAGCACGCTCTCGCCCTGCTTCCTCTCAGCGGAGGACGTGGCTTCTGATTTCACTGAGAAAACGGAAGCACTCAGAAGAGAACTGTTTGCTTGCCCTCAGCATACCTGCGTCCATAGTCACATCCTCCACCTTTTTCTCCACTCCACCTACATCCAAGCTTGCTTGTGTCCTGGAACCCACCCCTTTCCTG